TTCACACCGGGCGATCTCATCGTAGATCTTGCCCAAGTACTCCCTGGGCAGATCCTGACTATCGTTTATACCACGGTTCATGCGTATATAATCCTCCTGGGAAATAAATAGGGGAAATTGAAAAATATATGGCTGAAAACGTTGGAAAGAGGAGCAAAATGTGCATGCCTATCTGCTCCCGTCGGAAAACGGACCTATGCAGTCGTTAATTAGAAGTCAAATAAAGATAGCATCATAGGATTTGGCTTGTCAACGCAAAGAAGTAATAAGGTGACGAAGAGTTACGAGACTAAAAGTGTAGCAGTGAACTAGAAGAAATCCGAGAAAGAGGAGGCATTGGCCAAGAGAGGTTTACTGGAAGTCAGACGTTTAGATTAGTGAGTTCGCAGACAGCTTTCATTGTAGGCCGCGCGTTGCTCAGCGCGTACACCGCCAATGCCGACCGTGCGGCTATCAAACGTATAATATTCTCACAGGCTTCAATAGTAGTATTATTCTCAGTTAGAATAATTATAGCCATCAAAGCCAGTTGATTAAAGGAGGGCCGTTCCACTCCTTCTTCGGCTCTTGTGCCTTTTAATCTGACTGTGTGCAATAAGGCGTGGCAGCTTGCTCCACAGCGCTGATAGGCCAGGATCCTAGGCACCAACGTTGAAGGCAATTTTTAAAAAATCAGCAAGACGGTAGACAGTCTGATATTCGACGCTCCTGACTGACTAATCAGGCGTTTAACTATTTGACAGCTACTCAGCAGGCTAGATGTTCAAATCATCCATCAACAAATGTCTGCGGATTGTGTAACATCAGCTGGTGCCGGGCAGCACAGGTCAACGCCCTGGTGAACTCATGCGTTTGGAGAGAGAGGGAAATGCTAGACTCGTTCAATAGGAAAACGCACATTTACAGCCTATCACGTGTAATTTTCATACCGAATTTCTTTTACAGGTGACTGGTTTCTGTTTGTTTGCTATCCGGAATGGGGAATTTTTGAGCCAGTGAACAACAGTTACTGGAGACGCTCACTTAAGATCTCAATGCACTTCGACTTACAGTAGATGTACCATCTCAAGAAATGATAACCGGAACTGTGAATTGTGTTTTCAAACAGAAAAGTTTACTTAAATAGGATTACAATATTAATTATCATGCAGTCGAACACCCCGATTTTCCCATAAAGTAAGGATGTCAGCTTGTGAACGAGCTACGTTCCGGCAGTCTGCAAAATATACACCCTGTAGGAAATTACTACTTCAAAACTATGAGTTTTCTCATCGGTTTTCGATATCCTCGTCAATTTAGGCATATTTACCAGAAAGAATGCATCAATATACCGTTTCCTGTACTTATTTTGTGGCAAATTACGTCTCCTTCATAGTTTACACTTGAAGACAGTACATTTTTCGGTTTTTTGAAAGCTTTTTCAGTTTTCCTAACGGACTGCGGGTGGGTCTGATGTGGTTTCCTCGCAGAATGGCCTTTCTGGAAACTTCAATCCTAGAACGTTTTGTTGACGTCCGGACTGTGTAAGGTGACAGGGTCGGAACATGTGCGACATACGTAGACGTGAAATTAAGCGTAAGTCACCGCTGGGCCCTCAGGACAGTGGTGGTTTTCAGGTTAATATAGGCGTGTTTTGATGATTACACGTTTTCCCTTATAGTACTAGCCTCGGGATCGCATGTTTGCCGCCTTCTGGGAAGTTTTTATGGATGCTTTGGCTACGTTGCCAGACAAAGGCATAACGTCTACGCACTTAATTTCTTTGCAGCCCTGAAAGCATATCACGATCCTGATAAACGTGTCCGATTAGTCCAATAGTTTCTTCTAGCATTCCCAAGTTTCAGGGCTCTACAATCTCCACCCAGGGATCAGTCGACAATATCTTCATCGTTTCTATTGCCTCCAACTTTCGAAATACTGCGGCTTGATTTTTTTGAATCAGCGTGTGGTTTGGAGGTAAGGCAGCTAACGTTCCGCGTTCAAATAATTGTGTGGTAAATTCACGCCTTCAAAGTATTCATAGAACATATATATATATATATATGCAAGCAGGCTATTATTGGGCCCCAGAAATGCAAAGCTGCACACGTACCTGCGCAGGACCTACAGGCTGCCATAATCACATGAGTCAGAGGCACCTCCTGGAATCAAATTTAATTACTGTGTCGCCTCCAACTGATATTATCCCTGTCGCAGCAGATGCGGTATACAGAATTAGATGAAAGCTGATGCATTCATGCACTGTCCCAAGCAAACAGGCCCCAAATTCCCAGAAGCGGTGACGAACAGGCAACCATATAGCAGGCCTAACTTGACCAAGGCATGATAGCACAGAAAAATATTAGCGGAAGTGCGAGTGGCCTGATGCAGACTTGTTGGTAATGAAGGATGGGTACGGCAACGATGACTTCACGGAGTATATACATTTCTGGGTAATGACCTGCCTCCGTTCGTGTCTCGTATATTTGGGGGTAACAGGCAATATCCCTGAAAACCTTACCACTTAATGCGAAGTACGTGTTTTCTATGACTAAGTGGGAAAGCAAATGGATCGCCGTGCGCCCACTCCCGTATGAACAACTATCTTATCTGCGGTAAGGTAATAATGAACTCTGCCGCCAGGAAATGCTTCTGGCCTGTGTGTGATAGAGGCAGTCTGTGGACCATCGTAGCCGACTTTGAGAACGAATACGGACAATTAAATACAAAAAAGTAAACCAAAAAGGACGAAAGAAGTTGCCTTGCCTTGCTCATTCGCTGCTTTTGCTTGATTTTTGAGGAATGGAGATCTGTGGTGAGCATGATGATTGAATAAGCGAGCACGTAGGCGGTATCGGCGGAAGCGAACATAGTGTTAGATGGGTTGCAGGCGCAATAACGAGCTGCAAACTTCTCCATCAAACGATCAATTTTTTGGGCCTCGCCAGGTAATCGAAAACCGGACAAAAACTGTCTACAAGAAAATTTTAGACAAAAGTATTGTTTAAAAGCCGCCAATGGGGTAAAATCTCTCTAAAATCATGATTTAGTTCGGAAAAATATACATTTATTCTCAATAAATGTAACAATCTAACCACGCAGGTGTAAAGCGAGAGATAGGGATGAAAAATTACAAAAACTATTTAATGATACGCATTATGGGAGATAAATTGGACACGTTTTCTGTTCGACGAGAAAAAGCTAAGGAGTTCCCGCATCCGCACCGGTTGTTCCGATACAGCAAGAGCTGACTGTTTTACCATAAATCGCCGTTATCTAGGCATATTTGGGTTACATCGGAAAAATATAACGTAATTCCCAGTCATGGCTCCACAGGTAAATAGTTAGAGCCCAAAATTAATAGCCCACGTTTTGTCAGCTATGATCAGATAGGCGCCGGAAAGAAAATAAGGCCGACTGTTAATGTCTTAACGGATTTAAGAATCGACCACATTAAGAGGGAACACAATGGCATTATTAAAACCGAAAGAAATCATAGCGCTCCCTCGTAGAAGCATAATGGGACATATTGAAACACTAAAGCATAAGCAGCTATAAGTTCCACAGGATGACTTCCGGAAGCATGAACTTAGCTTATCTAACAACGTTATGTTCAGCTACTTAAAAGACCTTCAGACAACCTAGGAAGAATAACTAGATGGGTGGCTCGTTCATAACACAAATGCAGATGAACACCAAACAAGGGTTCAGGTTGTGGTTTTCATACAGATACATAAGTTAGGCAATTTCCTGGCAAGGAGGCGAATTTCTAGTAGTAAAATAACCGCTGTCCGGCCAGTCTGCAATTGGATAAGGTATAGAGGGCAGTTAAAACGCAAACAATCGGGTCGTTATTTGATGCGAAAACTGATCTAGGAAGCAGTTACTCAATATTATGTTTGAAACAGAACGTAATAAAAGAGCGGTACTAACCTTAACGCGGATACAAATTCAGCACCGGCGAACTCAAAGCAATCCACGTATGCGTACATGACTTCCAGCGCAAAGGCTTCATTTTCGCCGAGATAATCACCAATAGCCGTACGAGACAAGCGGGCCTCGTTGTGCAGGAACAGGGCAACATCTTCGGCCGTTTCACCCAGAAGATTATTCTCCCTCAGAAGCGACAAACCCTTTTGTAATTTGCCGTGGTTGAAAAGGGAAATGCCTTTTTCGTATATTTCTTTCTGCGCTTTTCTCGACTCGAAGGCTTCGGGGTCGTCAGAAGTTGACCTGTTTAAACCTACAGGATGTTGAAAAGTAGCCAACTGAGAGAAGATACAGAACATGACGCGCATCCAACATAAACCTCATGTGAACATCTGAATGCTTTAACTAGTCGAAATACTAGGTATGTGGTTGTAAATTCTTATGAGCACGAACTTGCGCAGAGGTTAGGGGTGCTGCAACTCAATGTATCCAATGTTGTAAAAAAAAATTACCAAAACCAGCAACAGGCTAAGACGCCTTATTTTAATTAACAGGTTTTAGCCTAGTGTGATCGTCGAAACGTTGACCTAAATTAAGGCATCTTCGAATTAAAGGACTTTCGTATGGGTCGAATACAGCGTGACCAAGAACGATAGCTAGCGCAAAAGGATTTTAGGCTAGACCGAGGAGACAATGTGGTAAGGTCTTGAAAAGTGTGAAACAAACTGATTGCATAGGCCAAATAACACCGGTAAGGCAATAATAAGGAAGTTGTTTATAAAAGTAAGGAAGTTGGGTAAAATCATGTGGTGATTAAAAGGATGTTTGAAAACGCCTTAACCAAAAAATGAATAGGAAGAGGGAGGGGGCTCACATACGCCATTAATACACGCCAGATATTATTATCTTTATGTTACAGTGACATAAGACTCAACTGTCGTTAATAGGCAGCCAGCTGATAGCTATAACAAAGCAAGCACCCAAAATTACCAACAGAAGAAGTGCTGTCCGCATCCTGTACGTGAATATTATGAGAACTCGGAAACATTGGCTCCGAGCCCAGGAAAGACTGGGCTTCACTTGAGACATTATAGAGGTCGTGTGACCACTGCACCATGCAACGAAGCAGTAGAACAAGACATTCCAGTCCACGTTTGCGCAAT